TAAAGGATTTGCGAATTGTTTTGAGACTAATTTTCTTCATTATGACAAGTCACCAAGTCTGGCTGATCAGCAGTGCTTGTGGTGATATAGCCCTAACACATGCAGAGCAGCTTCTGCTTCATTTATGTGTTTTATCCAGCCTCATTTAACTTCAAGAGCCATTTCCTGGAAACAAATAAGAAACAATTAACTTCACAAAAGAAATATTTTTGAAATTTTCCATAAGGGTTTCCCCCTCTCCAAACAAAACAGAAATTGCAGAACTTAAGTAACAGGCATCAAAGAAAAGTAAATACAGAGAGCTGATCTGGAAACAAATCAGGCTCAAAAAAATTAATCTACTAAATCTGCATTGAAGATTTCCACAGCTTTTTCTGCTTTTAGCACGCTATTTTTAAAATATACACACAAATTACATCACACTCATAGGCATATATATTTAATGCACGTCTATAAAATTTTCAAGCACAGAAACACCTCTCTCTTTCAGAAGGCTCCATAAAAATATCCCCACAAAAATAACTATAAAAGATAAAACTAGAAGATATTCTATCCAACAGGACTCCTAAATACAGGTTAAACTGTGATTAGTCCAAAAAACATGGTCTTACAAGGTCATACTTTCTTTACACAGAAAAGTCGAGCAATATACAAATAACTACAAAATGACAGGAAAACTAACTCCAGTCAGAAAATAGAGAGAAATTAACAGCAAAGTAACATCTGTTTAGAGCAAGCCATAGAAGTCCCCTCCTGAACTTCTGTGAAAGAAAAGCTATTTCCAAACTCTCTTATAGGTATACAGGAGGTCACATCACAGGCTTTCCTTGCCTAGTACTGTTAGAGCTTTTCTTCTTCCAGTTCCTCTGCCAAGACTAAGTGGACACATCTGCTCAAGTCCCAGTCAACTCCTCCTACCCGGCATCTTCCAGAATCATGTACCCACCCCCTCCATAAATTTGAGTTTTCAGCTCGGGTTTTTTTGTTTGTTTAGGGTTTGTTTCTTTGGGGTTGGTTGGTTGTTGGTTTGTTGTTTTTTTTTTTTTTTTTTATTTTTAATGTCAGTGAGACCTTCCAAAGCAAGCAGCTCTGCAGAGAGGAGAAAAACAAGGGAAAGAAAAAGAGAGGGAAGTTGCTGCTGCCATGGAAGTAGGTAGTGCAGTTAGTAGTAGCCATTTTAACATGTAGCCATTTAACTCTGGATACCCGTTATGTTAACAGCACAAACTGCAGCAGCAAGCCTGGCTCCAGGCTAAGCGTGGCAAGCTGGAGGAGTCTAAGAATCTTTCAAGAAATCTTCCAAGTGCGAGGGACTGAGGAGAAAGTAAAACAGCCCTTATGGACGCACTTCCCAATTTTTTCCTATGGTATCACAATACAAGCAACTGAGAAAAATAGTACAATGAACTGGAGTAAGTTTTATCAACTAAACAATATGATTTTCTTAAATAACCATTCAAAAATCGCATAAAAGCATATAAGGAGAAGCAAACTAAAAGACAACGCAAGGCATCTAAGGATTCTGAACTTCAAAATACCTTGAAAAATTTAAAGCAAAGCCCTGCGGCTGTGGGGTTGAACGCTGTTCTCATAAACAGCAGAAGCACTAAGGCTTGATTTACTTGGAGTTGTTTCCTAGTCCTGTCTTCAATTTCCCTATACGATCTGCATCACCCTACCTCGAAGACCTGTTCTGTTTCGGCCATAACTTCCAACATTTCCCAAGTCCATCTTCAGAGTATCTCCAGCTCTTATTTCCTTTTCCTAATTACCAAACTAAACAGCACTTTCCTTTCTCTCAAAGGGGAGAAGCTAGAAGGCTTCTCTTCTGCCTCTAAACTGATTTACTTGCCATCAGCAAAGAACAAACATGTCCCAAAACCTTGTTTCCTAAGCAAACAAAATACTAAGAACCAACTCGTTATAAATGAATATTAAAACCTTAAAAAACAAGACTTTTTTTATTAGAAGTTCACTGCTTATTTTCCACTTTTAACCTGACTCCTGTGGTACCTGGAGTTCTCACAGTGTAAAAACTGTATTCCACTTGCACAATTTGAAGATGACAGAGGTATGTGTATGTATATGTGTATGTATTTGCAAAGGTTAAGATGCTACTTTTATTTTCCTTTTCTTATGACCGATATATGCTGAACCATAAAATGTCCTGTTTTAAAACACTGATGTTGAATACGAGCTCCATACATTTGGAATAATGGGGGAATAGTAAAGTACTGAAAACCAAACATGAGTAAGATACATTCAGTGGGGTTTATATGCCTGAAATCTGACGTATCAGAATAGCTGACAAAGTACAGCAATTAAGAAAAAAATAGATATATATAAAGGGAAAGTTACATGTCAGTTAGAAGTAGATTCAAAATGCCTTGTTGGACTGCTATTCCTAAACCATTTGGACTTTGCCATCTTACCAATTTACAGCACTCTTTTCATCATATGTAACTAAATGAACCTACAAAATGAGTGACAAACGTAACTTCAGGATAATACGCTGCTCCTAAACTGAAAAATTCAGAGTTTTTGCTCATCTGATAAATTTAACTGTGCCTTTGTGTGTGTAGTACCAGAAGCCTGGGAACCCTCACATTAACCCCACTTGAGAAATCCAACTGCTTCCGACTGACATCCACAAGCTGATACTATTTCCACTTCACCAGATACCTTTCCCCGTCCCTGTGGGAAGTACATTATACTGTTTGCAATTCCTAACCCTAAAAAAGCAAGTATGAAATAAAATCTCCCTTCTAAGCTACAGAGAAAAATAAAAGAACATTATCACATTGCTGCCTGGGGAGAGAACATGTAAAGAGCTCCAAACTGTCTAGTTCACCACTATTTTTTTACTTGTGTGTTTCAAAAGAACGTTACCTAAAATTTGTTTGAAGAAACTATGTTTCTTCAGATTCTCCATAACTAAAAGACTCAGCAAGTCACTTGAAAGAATAGGATTTTACCGCATACTAGTTTTTCTGTATCAAAATGTGGGGTTTTTTTACAAATGAAAATCCAAAATCTAAAAATAATCTCAACAGATAAATCTCTATGGCAGCATACAGAGAAGTCAAAATTTTGTACTTTCAGAGTGACTACTGAGCCTGCTTGAGGGAAAAAAGTGTTTTATACCTGTCAGCCTACCTTAGCAGCCAATATCTTTATCAAGCAAACGGCATAATTGTCCAAATGCACAACTCATCACTTCTATCATTGTAACGTTTCATATAAAGAAATAATGAAAGTTTGAAGTGCAAACATAAACCACGTAAATAACACGCATATATCCAGAAGTCCAGCTCATTCATCCAGGAAAAGACAGTAAAATCTACTGAATGAACAGTCCGGGTCAAAGCTCTCTCAAGTAAACTGAGCACACCTACAGATGACAGCAAGAGCCTAAACAAATCTTCCATATAAGAACCACCCTACTTTATGACATCTCTTACACATATTTTATCCAAGACAGGAGAAAGCAAATATACCCTGAAGTCAAATACCCTAATTGATCCAGATACTCTTCTTTCTTTGCACATACTTAAAAAATACAAGTAATTCCCCATTGTGTATTAATGTGTTTAAAAGCGCCATGTAATCAGCCCTCAATATATGGTATGCTCGTACACTTGCAAGTGTAGAATTTTTTCTACTGTCTACATCTAGAAGAGCTGAAACCTAAGCGCCCAGCATGCGCCCCTTCCTGGAATACATTAAAATTAACCACTCAACTTCTTCACAACCCTCAGCACTGCAACAGCTTCGCTAGTATTTTGTACTAATTATGGCATCACCGAAGTCTCCCACTGATGTGCTCTTCCAGTGCCATCTGCTGAACAGCTAATTTAGACAGCCTAACTACAGACACCTCTAGAAATTCTGCTGGCAGGTATTTGCGACTATAAACAGACTCTGAATTATGCCAATGTACTCCCAAAGCCTGGTGGCTATGTACCAGAAATACCTGGAACATACAGACTGAAAACAGGAGATTAATCAGATCCAGAAACAGAATGAGATGTTAATACACTATAGAATAAAGAGTCAGAACACAATTCTGACTTACAAACTTCCATCACAAATTCTACGCCTTGGAATCTTTAAAATTACACAGGTTGACAAAACACAGACCTCCCGACAAAAATTACCTGGACTACTAGATTACTACCCAGCAAACAACATGGTCCCCTTTGTGTTTATGAAAAATAATCAAAACTAAACTTGCGCACCTCATGTTGAAGTGAAGAAAAACATGTATTAATCACATACAAACGTGAAATTATTAGTGAAGAGATTTAAAGCTAATACTTTACAGGCTGCTTCTCAGAAACCTGAAGAGCAGGTCATGCAGTCATACGTTAATTGTTATTACAGTGGCCAACACCCATTTATTGAAAACCATGACAGCTTAAAAAAAAAAGTTTGTGCAAATCTAATTTGAACATTCAATACGTCAGATCAGTTTCAGTTTGATGCTACAAAATGGTTTCAATGGACTATAATCACATAGCTATCTCAATGCAGTATTTGCAAAAGTACACCAACAAAACATTTTATTATTTTATATGGCCTTTATTAATTTCTTATCTTTTTCACACTTTTAGGTTAGGTACACTAATTACCAGAGACAAATACTATCAACAATGTTCCCACAATACACTACTACAGAAATAAAACAGCATTAACTTTCAGGAGTTGGGACAGAAACAATCATACTGCAAACAGGGTAAAATACAACTCATGGTTGAATAAAGAATTGGCTTTTAAAATTTTTTAATAAAAATACCATCACAAAAATGCCTTGGAACTATTAATCAATGCTGCTTCAGATAACTTAGCCTTTCCTAAAATAACTGTTAATCTGCTCACTCATTTCCATAAAGTGAAACAGTGAAGCATTAAACTTGATTTCTTTGAACCCAGAG